GTGATATTATATAAATATATATATATATATTAATATATACACACACACACACCACACACACATACATACATATATACATATGCACAAAAATCTATATCTATATATGTATGAACGAGCAAAGACCATTTTGGTTTCAAATAAAGATAGAAAAGGCTATTATTCACGGATATAAGTTTCATTAACCTTCCTAATGATGTATCTATATATATAAATAAGAATAAATAAATATCCACTGATCTGAGATATTCCCTATGACATGATGAATATTGGCAACATCCAGTACCCATTGTAGAAAGAAAAACAATTACAAAAAACAAACTTTGTAAAAAAAAGAAAAAAAAAAGGCACGTGTGTATATACAGTAATTATAATGCAAAAACTAAAAAAAGTGATTGTTCTTACTCTTTTAATCTTGAACCAGTATGTGACATGTCTATGAACAATTACAGGTAAAGAGTAAAAAAATATTTCTATTTGAATAAGTAACATCAACTCTTGTTTGATACTCCTAGTTATTGAAATGCACTCATGAAATACTAATTATGCCTCATTACTCCCACGGCAAAATGTTCTCTTTCAAATGATAGATACATTCCTTTTTTTTTCTGTACACTTTGTTCTCTAAAATACATTAGACAATTGTGTCCATCAATCAGAATGTCTTAATAACGAGGTCCTAGTACTATACCCTGCGGAACCTCAAATATTACTTGTTTTGATATGGCATGCCCATTGCATTACACCTACTTAGGCCTATATATACTATCGATGATGAAGTACCACCACTTCCCTGTCACAAAATGATCTTTGTACTATTGATTTCACTTCAAGGATACACTGATTATGAGAGAAAGCAAAGACAACCCTTCTAAGAAATCCTTGTATAAACAGACATCTTTTCCTGTCCTTAATACTGATTAATTAACCACCTTAATACATTAACAAAAAAACGGAACACAGTAGCGGACTTTTTTTTACAATAATGTAATTTTTCCAACTCGTGTTCCCTTTCTTTTCAGCATCAACAACAGTGACCTCCTTGTGACCTTGACACAGAACGCACTTTAATTATCCTCTCCATACTGATCATTTGTCTTTCCTCGCAATAAAGACGATTATCAAAAAATTACCAAAATCTCGTATATGACACGCACCAATGGCACACCGAAAGAAGCCACTGTACCCCCCGACCTGTCTCATTTCCCCTCACAAAGGCTTCCTCTTCCCTCTGCAACCCAGAACGTCAACCTCACACCATCCCCGACAGACTCTCCTTGATAAACACACCATTTTTTTCTTTCTCACCTTTGCTCCTCGGTTCGCCATGGCGCCTCAGCTCATCTACGAACACGAGCTCATCTCTCGGCCAGTTACTCGAAGTCTCCGACACATTATCTCCCATCACTTCCGGCTAATAAGGTCTCGAAAACGCAACGAGGAACTCTGACCATCTTATTAAAGGCAACGATTGGTGAACACTGCCAGAGGAAGAACATTTTTTGAAGATAAGGCCGTGTTTGTTTTCGATTTCTTGACGTTCGCGTCCGGCTTCGACCAATGGCAATGGAGCTTTTCTTGGAGGTGTATTCTGATTGGTCGTTCTTCTGAGCGAAGGTCTTGAACTGTCATCCTGGACTTTTATCTTCAGCCAATCAGAAGTTAGAAAAAAAGCAATCTTATCATTGGTTGGTTACTTTTTGTAGGGGAAAAGTGCCCAATAATATTTAACTTATCAGGATATCGAAACTAAGATTTCTTGGTAAATATTATTAAAATAGGCTTTACAAAACATTAATCTTAAATCCAAAATGTGGAAATGTCAGTCTCAAGCCATAATGACTAGTTTAAAGCATGCATAAGATTATGATTCAGACGATTAATGTGACAGATACATCTTTATAGATATCTTATGTTTAAATTGCGATGTTGGAATTTAATATTCCACTATGAACCAAAAAACTTAAATTCTCAAAATATATGTTTATATTTTTTAAGCTCGTTTCCAATAAGAAAATGATACTATTAAAAAATCCCTCTTTTTATTAATTTACGTCAAAAAAGAGTCAAAGAAAAATCACTTATATTATTCCCAGAAAAAATATAAAACAGCTAATACATTCAACCTCCTTGAAAAAAAATCAAAGTATGTATACAAGATGCGTGTTGTCATCCCGGCGTGAGTAATCGAGAAGGAAACACCGAGGCGAAAGTAAGGCGGTTCCTCGCTCACGTCAGGACAGCTGTTCATTCATGTCTGTGGAAGAACTCAAGGCTAAAATACAGCAATTGGAAGCCGAATTAAAGCAGCTGAGAGATGACAAGGGCGGTGCAAGAGAGAAAATCGCCCAAATGTCGGGTGAAGTGGTGGATAGTAACCCGTATAGGTGAGAAATATGTTTCGTGTGTTCCTTACCTGTCAGATTTTTTTTCCATATTGCCAGGTAATTTAACTTTGTATGGGTTAATGGGATGATGGATATGTTTAGAGACGACTATTGAGTAAAACATATTGTTGAATTAGTGTTGGGAATATGTAATTTATTTTCTTGTGATTGCGTCATTGCTAAGGTTTGTGATCTAGGAACCACTAAGGTCTCACTCATATCGTCATGTATTAAAGATTTTATACAGAAGTTTAACATTTACTCCTTATAATCAGAGTCATATATATTTTAGACTTCCTGTGAGATATGAATGACTTGGACTTCCTTTACCATTTTTTGTCATTTTTTTCCTGTGTCATTTTACTGAAGAAGAATTTTCGTTTTAACTTTTTTCCAAGGTACTGTTATATTTTATACAATTCCGGTCAACATAGATCTAATGGTATTATTAATTTTTAAAACGAGTATCAAGTTTCTTTCATCAAATCCGCAGATTTTACCATATCCAAGGTGTGTTTCCTGTGGAAGTCTTTAAATTTTCGAGTTAGAAACCCCGCCCCCTTCCCATTCCTGTTTACTAGGCTCGCAGGAGTATAAGGACAATTAGGTAAATTTTGTATCTGTAGAAGGTTTAGATTCTCATTATGGTTACAAGTAAACCATATGGCATTACCTTTGTAGAAGTTTGATATTAATATGAATAAAGCTCATATAAGGATGTCAACATATAAGCTATATATATATATATTTTCAGTATCAGTTTATGCATCACAAATTTACAAATTAAGCTTTGATTCAGAGGGCCAGGGTGGCATCTATTCTTGCCATGAAGCACTGAGCCTCTATGCTGGGTGGCAAGTATCCATGTCATGACAGTCATACTTGCTCTAGGTCTTAAGTTGTGTACTAAAGAGGTAGAAAAGGTATGAATTAGTAAGGATATCTTCAAGGTGGAAGGGTTCTTTGAAGATATCCATTCTCATTCATACCGTTTCTTCTTAGCTTGCTTGGCCCTGTCTGCATTCATTGAAGAGATACAGCTTTCTAGAGGAGGCTTAAATTATGTTTTTAGTTTGTTCTTTTGAGGAAAAAAATCATGCATATGGTGCAGCAAAAAAATGGGGAGAGCAGGGAAAACATATGGTTCTTTCATTCAAAAATTTTCACTTTAGCTTTTTGCCTGTGGCACCTATGATACACATTCTCTTAAATCAATACACTGTAATTCCTTATAAGTAAATGTAGGGAAAAAATTCTTGTCTATAGAGCTATGGTATTTTTTTTTAACATCATATGAAAAGTTTTTTTTTTTTTTTTTTAATATATTAATTTTTGTCTGCAGTCCTGGAGCATTTATGTTTAGTTGGTCTTCTACTTTTTTCTGTATTCAGAGATTCTGATAGATTTACTATTAAATTTGATTCAGTTTGAAGACAGATAATGTTTTATATAAATACTTGTATGTGAATGTATGAATAAAAGTATGAGTCTGCCTATATTTGTCTGTCTCCCCATATGTATCGGTGTATCAAACTGTTTATCATCTATCTTTTTTATTATTATTATTAAAGCCATTGAGTATATTAAAGTAATACAGAAAATTGAGCTAACGAAAATCATTTTCTTTTTTTTTTTTCAGCCGATTGATGGCTCTAAAGAGAATGGGAATTGTGGAAGACTATGAAAAGATTAGAACTCACACTGTTGCTGTAGTTGGAGTTGGTGGTGTTGGCAGTGTGACTGCGGAAATGCTCACTAGATGTGGTATCGGTAAGGTAAGTCAATGGACTTTATTTAAGTGTGAATCTTTAATGACTTCAAAAACAAAGATTGAAATAATATATTATGATACTCTATTTTAAGCTGTATGTTATATATGTTATATATTGAATATGAATATTAGAAATTTGCATATACATGTTCATTATAAAAGGAAAAGTTTGCTGTTGTAAATTTAGAGTAATTATTTTTCCTTTCTTTTTTGCTTAGATCTTATACATGCATTTATTTTGAGAAAATTTTAAATCATCATAATGACAGAAATGATAATAAAAAAATATTTATATATGTATATTATATGAGTATGGAAATGTATGATTATATTTCTTTTTTTCAGCTTCTGTTATTTGACTATGACAAAGTAGAGCTGGCCAACATGAACCGACTGTTCTTCCAGCCCCACCAAGCAGGGCTTAGCAAAGTTGCTGCTGCAGCTAACACTCTGCAGTTTATCAATCCAGATGTCACATTTGAAACTCATAACTATAATATTACAACTGTAGATAATTTTGACCACTTCATGGACAGAATTAAGTAAGTAGAAGAGTTAACTGGAGAAGGTATTTTCCTGCTGAAATATTTTGATGAAAAAAGCAGTTCTTGTATATTTCAAATAGGGTATAATGAGAAAATTTTATTGTCTTTTCCAGGACTGGTAGCTTAACGGGTGGACCAGTGGATCTTGTGCTGAGCTGTGTGGATAACTACGAGGCCCGAATGGCTGTTAACCGAGCATGTAATGAATTGGGTCAGACGTGGTTTGAGTCTGGTGTTGCAGAAAATGCAGTCTCCGGTCACATTCAGTTCCTGATCCCAGGGGAGATTGCTTGTTTTGATGTAAGCATTGATTTATTTTGATGAATGCTTGTAAAAGAAAATAGAAAAAAATGAGGAAGATGAAAAATTAAAATGCCCATTCATTTCTCAAAATTCATAAAATCATACTCATAATTCATTATATAATCTATTGTAGAATTAATTGCATGAAACTATCATAATTTTTCACTCTTTCTCTCTGCCATCCAGTGTGCGCCTCCTCTTGTGGTTGCAAGCCAGATTGATGAGCGTACCTTGAAACGAGAGGGTGTCTGCGCAGCTTCTTTACCCACAACAATGGGTATAGTTGCCGGCATGCTGGTGCAAAATGTTCTCAAGTAAGTTGAAACCAGTTATTTGGTGAAATAATGGAACTTTAGTTCTTTCTTCAGCTAGATATTTTATTAAATGCATTGTTGTTAGAATACAGCATTCAACATTCTTGCTATATTTATTACAAAGCAGCACAATTTTTATTTTGAAAGTCATTTCTCTATTACCAAGTATCATCTAATAAGGGGAAAACATTTTGATTTCCTATGCAACAAGGTACAAAGAAAGGTTGATTAGTTCTGAAAACTATTTTTTCCCCCTTTTGTAAATAAACCCACCCATAACAGATGCTTAGCAGACAGTGAATAAAATGGTTTAGGTCTTTTGAGTGTAATGGTAAATAATTGTTTAGTTTTAGGTTTGTAGAAGTTGATCATTGACTCATAACAGTAAAAAAAGTTAAAGTATAAAGCAAATATACAGCATGTAAGTGAGTGAACATACTATCAAAGTCTTTTTATAGTGCTGTACGGTATCATGTATTCATTTATTTGTGTGATTTGTGTTTGCCATGAATGAAAATGAAAACTTCTTCTGCCACCAGGTACTTGCTGAACTTTGGTCAGGTGTCCTACTACTTAGGTTACAATGCCTTAGTGGACTTCTTTCCAACAATGACGGTGAAACCCAACCCTCAGTGCGAAGACTCTTGGTGCCGGAAGAGACAAGCGGAGTACAATGCAAAGAAGGCAGCTGAACCCAAGGTGGAAAAGGTGGTGGTAGAGGAGAAAGCTGTTGTCCATGAGGATAATGAGTGGGGTGAGTGAACATTTTTGTGTGTGCGGTGTTCAAGCTTTTTCTCGTTTTTGCTTTTCTTTTCCTCTCCTTTTTTCTTTGAATTAGTTTTCTGTTTTTCATATTTCTTGTGTTCTTTTCCCATCCGATCTTCCCTTTGTTTCATAGTAACAGTAGTAGTATTTAGATGTTTGAAATTTCTGATGATATTCCATATGGAGGAATCATAACCTTCAGTTGGGTATTAGTGATTACTTTTATTAAAAGAAAAAGGGGGGCTTTAGTGGCAATCTGAAGAATTATGTTGTATTTACTACTTTTCATAAAGTATATATTTGAATTTGTGAAAAAAAAGACATCAAGAATATCTTAAGATTGTATCAGTACAGAATAGTACTTTTTCATCCATATCACCTGATAGATAGAATTATATTAATAACACCCATCTCTCTTGCAGGTATTTCTCTTGTTGATGAGACAGCTCCTGAGGAGGCCAGCTCTGAGCCTCAAGTTTCAGGTCTCGCAAAGGGTATAACGGTAGCCTACGAGAGACCAGCCCCGACGAGCACCGAGGAAGAGGCTAACGTGGTCCAATCAGAAGACACCTCCCTGGATGACCTCATGGCGCAAATGAAGTCGCTGTAAGGCTGTTTAATAAGTGGGAGGGTGGGTATTTTGGGACTGATGTTGACGAAAAGGAAAAAATTTGTAGAGAAACCAATTCAAAATGTATGTATCATAGAAGCTCTGGAATAATCATAGTTTGTCTGATGATGAATCTCTCCAAGAGTTAAAAAATAATTGTTTTTCTTCTTTAAAAAAATACTCCATTGGTTTTCTATCTCTTCTGGTATTCCTATATATTTTGTAAAGAAGAGAATAAAATCACAAGTGCCCAAGTAATGAATTTAACTGTTATCAAAGCTCTCAGAATTTATCTTTAGGAAATTTTATGAAATACTTGCATGATTGTATATTTCATTAGGATATTATCAGTGGTTTGATGTGAGGCTCAAACTTACTCACGTGAGGAAATGTTATACAAATGTTTAATTTTACTTTTTTTTTTTTTTTTATAGAGTATATTGTTTTTGTTTGGAACATTTATAAATCTCTTCTCTTTTTTGTGTCTTTGTTATGAATCATGTTATTTAATTGATATGCTTATATATATTTTGAATATATCAAGTCTGAAGAACATTCCCCATCTGCTGCTTGTTTTATAGGTAAAAGTTTATTATGCTTAATTATTTCTGGAAAGTCGGAGATAAGCTGTATTTCACAATCTTAAGATTGAAATTATCACTGCTGCTGATTGATATACATATTTTTTTTACATTAAATTATTTATAAATTATCTGCATATCATTTTCCTATGTTTTATTTAGCAAAACAAAGTGGATAAATGTTATCAACATGTATCTTGCAAATGTACTCAGATTTATCTGGCGATTTGGGCTCTTGCAAGAGCCCAGCACCTCCTTCATAGCACACAAGTCGAATATGGCCTTTGTTACACCTGGCCTCAGTGTTAATTTTATAGGTATTTTTAGAAAACTATTGCCAGAGCCTTAGTAATTAATTGCCATGAAGGAAGTGCCTGAAACAAACAAGTTTTGTGCTTGAAAAACATGTATTAAAAAGTGATAAAAATAATAACGGTTTAATTGCAATTATTAGTTTATTTAAATCAAACAATATGCATGTGGTGGTTCACTCACAAATATACTAAAATACTTAAATTTACTCCTAATGGTACAACTCCATATTACTGTACTATATCACTATATCAGTGGCTCATGGGTTGGCTTGAGTTCATGAAACCTTGGAAGAATAATTTTGAGCAACAGCAAGAAAAAAGTTTTCCTTTTGCTGATATGTTGGCAACACAGGGTCGTGTAATACAAAATAATGTTCTGGTGTTAGAATATTGAAGATTTCTTAGGAGTCTTGTTTTCAGTTCAAGAAACAGCTGATACCAGGTGGTTGTGGTTGAGAAAGTGATCATTAGTGTAGAAAGTTTGGAAACCACTCCTTGGAAATACATTGGTAAATTTCAGAAAATCTATGAATCCTGTTTCAAACTATGCCATTAAAGTATGAGGTAATATTCCAGTAATACTCAGTTGGTGCATTTGTCAATAATATGCTTTCACCATGGAAATACAGTGAATGTGGTTCTCCTTACTGAAGCGAGGGAACTAATGCGTAAATCTAGAGGTCTCAGTTGCATGGCATCACCCAACTAGAACTAATAGGTGGTAGCCTTAACATTATTCGTCAAATGTCTAGAAAAGTGGCAGAAGCACCAGGTTCTGGGCAGAAATGGGGCAAAGGTATACAAAGAAGTGATAAACCAATCAGCCCCAGGATTACATGACTCTCTTCTAATCCATGGGCAGAATGGACCTCCCTTCCAATCCACCCATATGCTTTTACCCCACTCCTGCTAATCCTGTTGGTGTGCAGTTAGTTGTTTGACATATAATTAATTCGTCACTGTTTTCTAAAATACATTGTCTATCACTTATAGTACCTCACTTCTGTTTATTTTCATTCAACAAAAAATATATTGTACCCAGTATAATAGTGATTAAAGTACAGTACACCTTACTTCAAATGAAAAAGAAAATCTCTCTTTCACCTGCACGCACCTAAGAACGCACGTATATGCAAATGCACATGCGGACACACACACTTTTACAGTACTCATAATTAGGGCGTTATCGCCAATGGGGTCATATAGCCATATCCACCCTATGTTTACACCTCCAAGGGTCCCTCATGGCAAGCCGTCAAGCAGTATCTCGGCCCATCTCCTGCACCTCACGATACGTTGGACTGATTGTCGTCCTATAGGCTTCCTCCACCAGGTAGTCTCAGGCAGAGACAACCTTGTGGTCAGGATCGTCCTGTAGGAAGTGAGGCGGGTGCCTGAGTTGGCGGTCCCGTATTGTGCGAGTAAAGGGTCCTGTGCCAGTCTCACGGTGTAATCAGAGTAAAACTGTAGTATCAGGGCCTTGGATATGTGTAATTTGGTCCTTCTGCACGATACTGTTATCCTAAATACTCTTGTCGAGAGAGTACATGACCTCAGTGGTTCTTAATATATCGCCATTTTTTTCACTTTTTCACGAAAAAAGTCTTGGCCGCCAAATTTCAAAGTCCTATAACTCTGTAACCACTGGCCCTATCTTCAAAAATTAAGTATATTCATAGAGGGGAAATCACAGGGAATAAAGATGATTTATTTTTATCTTTTGAGTGATTTTAAGTTCCATAACCTTTTGGCCTTGCAATTGACAATAGTTCAAGTTCCCTGATTTAATAATTGAGATCGTTTATTTCATTTAGTTCGTTCGTGATTGATCAAGGACGAGCTCTCTGTTCTATTGTATACCCTATGCTTACCTTGGTTGATAGTGTATAATCAGTTTGATATAATGTCATAATTATGTATTTATTTCCTAGTCAAAAACAAAGACACTAAAATCATGCTAACATACTGGAATTAATATAAGAGGTTGGGAGGGGTTGGTAGTGGGGTACAGGTGAAGTCACTGGGCCGAGGGAGCGAAATCGTGTCCGCCAACTGTATGACCCAATCTATTTCGTCCCTGCGTGTTAAAATCTGTACTGGCTTTTATTTCGAGAAGTCAGGGTCTTTTAACATCCCACATGGTTATAATTGAGCAAATATTTATTTACAAATTTTCTACATATTTTTAATATGGTGTTCTACTGTCAACCGTAAATAAAATTGCATCAAATTTTGTCTACATGATTGGCCAAAGGAGTCAAAATAATTGTGTATGGCGTGCACTCACCATCAGAATTACTAAACTAGAGCTATCTGTTGGCTACCATTAGGGCGAATTGATTTATTACTGTAACTGTTGAGGCGAGTTATCATTTCTTCGTGAAATTTATTACACGATGGTAACTGTACGCTGGTAAATTAGTTAAGATCGTAGGCTAGTGAATCCGGCCCTAGGAGAGCATGTAAACCAACCACCACTGGTTCAGCACCAGCGTTTAACAACTCAGCAGGGATACCGCAAATACCCGCTGCTTTACTACCCCAGCTTGAAGATCGCCTGTCAAATTGATGATATGGAAAGTAGTTCCTCACTGAACTGTGGCTCCGGCACAGGGTTTGCGACTCCACTCGCATCCTATCTCATTGTTGGTGCTCAATACTCAGTACCCAATGTGCCTGGACTACAACACGATCTGAAATTATTCAAACAACTACTTGAGCAAATTGCGGTCGTCTGTGGCCTTCGACCTCCTTCGGAAGATGCCTGATAAGCTGTTCTTTGTCCCTTCTCAACCGAGTCCTACGCACCAGCGAACGATGCAAGTCCCGGTTTCCTGTCAGAGCCGTGCGACAAGCCTCTGTGACTTCCAGTTTTGTCTTGTTCTTAGGAAGTCGCCTATGATTCCTGAGCTGTGTTAAGTGTTCGCACTTGTAGGTATCCCACAGCAGTAGAGGGTTCGCCAGGTTGTCGATTGCTGCGAACTGTCCAATCAGCTTTAGCAAAACCACGGGCACACCCCCTCTCTCCCAACCTGTTCACATGAAACTCCCTAGGGTAATCAATGGACTGACAATGGGGTTTGAAGTGGACTTGAAGGGTGGCCAAAACCATTTTGGGTCAGTACCACAGGACTTGGCCCTCCGATATACCCTGCAGTTCTGGAGGATCCTCCAATGAGTTCTTACTCGATCTCCTTGGCCACACGACCCACGTCGATGCGGGACAGATCGCTGGTACCAGTAGTCAGAAACCCTCAATCTGCAGAACCTTGCAAAGTCACAAGAAAAGAGGCTATTCTCGCTGCCGACATCTGCTCCCGAGCCATGAGGACCACAGACACATTGCCAGCTCGATCACAACCGGATTCCGCACTGAAGTCGCCTAGAATAGTGCGAATATCTCGCCAAGGACAGCTGTCTGCCACCGATGTGAGTGGCGAGAAAACCGCTTTCACATCGAGTTTGCAAACATTGGTAGGAGCATACACAACGAGAGACATGGAGCACTGTTCATGTAAAATATTTACTGCTGAATTAGACATAAAAATATCATTCTTTATAGAGGGTATTCTCAGATTCATGACCTGTGGCACATTATTAGAATGCAATAAAGAATAACAGATTGTATCATCTATCCTATCTAGGAGAAATATTACAGTATACTGAAGAAAGGTGATATTTTACATACATTATTTGTGAAGGGTAGTATCTTATATATATTAAAGTTAAAAGGGGAATCCTGAGATACTGTGGATTTCCTTGACTCAAAGAAATGCATAATTTAAAGTTTTGATTGTTCAGTGGAGTTCTGCTGCACAGTAGTTATATTGACGGTAAACGCTTCTGACCAGCCTTCTCCAATGCTTCATCCTGTTATAAAGAAAAAAAGTGACATACATTCTACTTCCAGATGATAATCATTCATATTACAAATCCACGTAAAAAGATAATCATATTGTATTTAAAATGTCAATCCCCCTTTTAGATTAACTTAGATTAGATTTAGATTCGCTCCCTCACTGACTAGCACTCACCATGGCCTTGAAGAAAGCACTGTTGGCCGCCTGCTCGAAAAGTGTCCTCTCTTTCTCGAGCCTCTCACCAATGAGTCCACTTCGTTTATGTGCCTGGTCCATGTTTTGGAGTACAAACTGTATGGAAGAAATAGTACATAAAAAATACCGTTTGGATAATAATATTTGCTATTTAAAAAAATCCCAAACACAAAATAATCTGATGTAAGATTTTTTTTAAGTAGGAATTAACAGCTTACCTCGTCAATGCTTCTTTGATGAACTTGCTGGTGAACCTTGACGTATTTCTCCTTTTTACCGAGTGTGTTGACCTGGACCTCGTTGCGTCCGTCTCTCAGGTCAGTGGCGCCCAGACGACCATCCCAGATCTTGACTTCGAGTGACATGCCGTCCTGTATCGTGGGAGAGTGGTTAATGGTTACAAATCAAAATAAACGTGTTAGGGTAATGGTTAATGGCTATAAATGAAAATAAATGTGCCAGGGGAATAGTTGATGGTTAACTTAATAAAGCAAAATAAATGTCATAGATATCAAAGGCCATATGGCATTATATCAAGGGGAAAATATGATCTACTCACTTCAAAGCCCAATTCTCAATAAAGTTTACGTAAATTACGGTTAATGTGATAGAACTAGTTGGAATTAAAAAAAATGGAAATTACTCACATGGAGCTTAAAGTACTCCTCATTAAGGGCTTGCTGCAGCACCTTATGGGCAGGAGCGCCCTTTGATAACCTCTCCAGCACATCGGGGTTGGGGGCGCCCTTAAACATCGTCAGCCAATGAACTCCACTAATCACGGAATTCCTGTAGAAGAAAAAGGATAAAGAAATTTTACAGCTAAGAGATACTCAGATCACGACCAATGACGGAATTTCTGTAAAATAAGGATATCTTTCCCCTCTAGATGACAGATATTCATATTATAATTCCTTCGTAATCTTATCCAGCTGACAGATACTCAGAACACGACCAAAGACGAAATTTCTGTAAAAAAGGGATTATTCCCCCCCCCCTAGATGGCAGACATTCATATTCCATTTCCCTCTCATCTATCCACCAAAACCAATCATCCAACACATGAAAATAACTTCTCCACCCACTCCACACTCCCACACTCGACAATCTTACACCTCCTCCACCCTTACTTCTCAAAGACCTGCGTCACACCCCAGGCCATAGGGTGATCGTAGTTCAAGTGAGGAATTTCTCCCTTCGAGTCCGTCAACTTGCCGGGTTTCTTCCCATCGTCCGGGTGGTACTGAGGCGAGAACCCGAACAGCTGGACGAGGAGGACAGAACGCTCATCGTAGTGCTGGTGTAAAGTCTGAGAAAAAGGGAGAGAGATTTAAATGTTGGTGCGTTGCGGAATAA